CCACGGAATGGGGGTAGACGCTCACGCGCGCGCGCGCTTGGGCTTTTACTGGAAAGAGTCTGTCACCGTTATTGGGCACAAAAATGTTACTACACGTTTGCACTGTCTCTGTTTGTGAAAAGGGCACGCTTTTCAGACTCATAAAAATAACAACTGAGACACTTATTTGTGTCCTTCTGTACCTGTGAGTGCGTTTCGTGCCGTCATTTGTGCGTGAGCAAAACGGGGCATGTTTCGATATGCTTGTCATTTTTCGCTTGACATTCCAATTTTGTTGCCTATGAACCATTTTAATGACTTTGTCGAAGCCATATAGAGGTCAATATTACGAGCGTCCAACCACCTATGACTGGCTTGGAGATCCGTTCAATTTCAGTGGTGTGCTATAAGTAGGCTTTGTTATGCCAAGGAGGTTGACAAATTGGCATTTCTTCATATGGGGTCTTGCATATTGGACATCTGGAGGCGGTGTTATGCAATTAAAACATAACATATTGTTTGTATAATTATTTCAATAAAGGTCTGACGCTAACTTACCTCGACCATTTCATATGATTGTATACTGTGTGAATAAAGAGGAAAATTCCAATTAATAAATCTAAACATAGCTGCCTATCGGCCCCAGTAGCGTTCCCCAAACGAAGGGCTGTGGGTGTTCCTGGACGCGTCTATGAGCTAAGCGTGTCGCGTGGAAATTTAGGCTTTATTCTGAGTTGTAGCGGTCTATCAATTTACGCTGACGCTATGCGGTGAGTGATGCAAATACGTCATTACTTTCGTACAAAGTTTTCTTCCTTTCACCACTTTTAGAACTAGAAAAATTCAATCTGCATCCGTTCATCTACTATTCCATGTTATTAGGCTAGCCGTAGATGTATTTATTATTACGTATATCTGACTACTAACTGGGGACCACTGTGTACTACTATATCTATTTACAGGTGCTTTACTTACTGCTGCAAAATGCCAACAAATATGATAAAGCCTTTAGGGCAGTGCCAGTCTATCATTTAGACAGTTAGAAACATTTCGCGTTTGCTTTTTATGCTCTCAAACTACCCGTGACGTAGACAATCAATGTAACAATGGCATAAATGTAGCCAATTAGTTCTCAAAACAAGAGCGCGCAACTCGCCTCTTGCCAGAAAACGTCAAAGTAGGAGTGCCGCCTCTCGAAATAAGCAAAGCGTCGACTATAGGAAGAGTTTTAAATCAACAATGCCAAAATTGAGCAACACAGTAAGAAGTTAGTAGAAGATAAACGTGCGAGAAGGAAACTCATCAAAAGCACCAAACCGGGCTAAGGTCACACGCTCCTGTTCAAAACTACGCCGAGTATTTTCTAGCAAGTATGGAGTGTTAAATAGTTTAAAAAAAGGTTAGACGAACTACGAGTAGTGTGATGTTGAGAACTGACAAGCGATCAGGTGGTGTTGATAAGGCGATCAAGCGGTAGGTCAAGTGGTACTTAACCTTACTTAGAGATAGTGCAGCAGCCGTAGCATGAACTGACTGAAATTCGGTTCGAATGCGAATACCAGACCATTCAATGTATATTTGCCTAAAACACGTCATAGAAGTGGTTAAAAAGAGACAAGAGAAAAGGTCTGAGGTGCGGCCTCACTGGCGGCCACCTGCCGGTAATGCACTCCCGCATCAGAGCAGGATTGGCCACCCTAAGGCAGTCGTTGGCCCACTATCTGCCATAAGAACACAGTAAATAACTCTTGGCCCTAAGTTCTCCGTGGCTGCAAAACAACCATTCCAAGGCGGCAGTCAAACTACGTCGTAGTAGAGGGTGCTTAAAATCTCTGGGTCCGGACCGGCCACCATTGAAATCTGAACTTGGCTGCGTTTAATGCTAGAATGCTATTTAGAGAGGCCAGTCCAGCTGTACTATTTGCAGATTTAGCTGGTCTGCAATGGGATGTATTAGGGCTCAGTGAAGCTAGGAGGACCCTGAGGCATATAGAGTGTGGAAGAACACGCACTTCCTATGGTATCGTGAAATAATTGACAGATAAGAACAAGGGTAAGGTATATTATACAAAAGAAAAGCGCTAGAAACATCGATGATTACTACAGCGTCATTGAGGGAGTGACAAGTATCGCAGTTAGTTTTTAACAAAAGCTACATTAGGAAGATGGTACAGGTCTACGTGCCTACATTGAGTCATAAAGATCATTTGGTTCGACGCTTTTACGAAGACATAGACTCAGCAGTTGATCAAGCAAAGACACAGTACGCAATACTGAAGGGTGACTTCAATGCCAAAATAGGCAAAAAACAGGGCGGACACCAGTGAAGAGGTGGAATATGGCATCTTCTCTGGAAATGCCCGAGGGGAGTTATTAGTAGAGCTCGCAGAGCGTAATAATTTACTGATCTTGAATACCTTTGACAGTAAATGGCCGAACCGTAAGTGGCCATGGCGAAGTCCTAATGACGAAACTAAAAATGAGAAAGACCACTCTGTGTGCACACCCAAACATTTACAGGATTTAGAAGTAGTTGACAAGATCCGATGCATTACCTTCAGTGTAAGAGCTGGTGTTCACCCAGATTTAAAAGGTAAATGCGATAACCAAAGCACAAGAAGTTAATGACTGAACTAGCGGTGAAACAGGAAGTACAGGAATTTGGGGTAGCATAAATTCAAATCTCTAAAAAGGTAACCCACGTTACCGATGGCACAATGAACGATAATCTTGCTAGTATCCTCACAGAGTGTTCAAAAGATGTCCGAGATACAGTCACTGAATATGACACTGGCGCAGTATCTATGAAGATGATAAACCTGATTAAGAGACGGCTAGCCACAAAATCCGCAAATGCAACCAACAAATTAAAGCTAGTAGAGCTTTCGAAGTCAATCAATCACCGTAAGGTAGCGGACATCAGATGGTACAACATGGAGAGAATTTGGAAAGCTATAAAAAGCGGCTGAAGTCTGACAGCTGCAAAGGCAAACTTGTGCATAGGCGAAAATTGGTTGTTAATAGAAGACGAAGGGAATGTCATAACCGTTTTAAATAGGATAGTTCAGGAGGCGAAGCAGTTCTACAGAGAGCTATACCGAAGTCAAAACTTATAGTGTGATATCGTAGGAAGCAATTAGAAGTTCTATTAGTGTTGCCATGAAAAACTAAGGCAAACCCTCGAAGGAATGCAAAAATGTAAAGCCGTTGCTGAGGATAAGGTAACAACGGACCAGCTGAAAGATGGCGGAGAAATTGTGTCTAAAAACTGGTCCTCGTACACACGAAGTGTCTCTTCACGAGAACGGTGCCAGAGTGTTGGAAGAACACCAACATCATCTTAATCCATAAGAAGCATACGACAATGACTTGAAAAATTATAGGCCGATGAACTTACCGTCTGTTCTCAACAAATTATTTACAAAAAAAAACAGCTAAGAGAATTGAGACGACCTTAGAATTCAATAAACCAAAGGACCAAGCAGGATTTCGTATAGGCTCACTCACAATAACCCATATTAATACTAGCAATCGGGTAATGTAGAAAAGTACCGAATACAACGAACTACTACATATCTCTCTCATGAATTATGAAAGGCGTTTGACTGATTGGAAACATCAGCAGTGATGCAAACACTACCAAATCAGGGCATCCAACAACCCTACAAAACAAACTGCAAAAAATCCACAGCGGATCCATATCCACCGTAGTTCTTCATGAAAGAGCTACAGAATCTCAATAAAAAGGGTGGCAGCAACGGAGACGTGATCTCTACAATGCTATTCACCACTTGTCTACAGGAAGCTTTTCGGGCCCTTGATGGGGAAGAGTTAGGGATAATGTTAGTGGATATTACATAAGTAGCCTGCGATTCACTAATGACATTGCCTTGATGAGTAACTCATGGAACGAATTACAGCTCATGATTACTTAACTGGACAAGGGAAAGCACAGGAGTAGGTCTAAAAGTTATTACGCATATAAGCTGAAGTAATGTGCAACAGTTTCGACAGAAAACAGTGCTTTGCGATATGTGGAGAGTCGCTTTGAGTTGTAAAGGAATACTTCTAATTAGGACAGGTAGTAACCGTGAAATCCAACCATGAGAGTGAAAAAACTGGAAGTATATTGATAGGGTGGATCACAATAGGCAAATATTCTCAAATAATAAATGGTAATCTACCGCTAACCTTCAAGAGTAAGGTATATAACAGCCACACTTTGTCAGTGCTTACCTACGAGGCAGAAACCTGGAGGGCAACACAAAGGATTCAGCCTAAATAAAAGACGATGCAGCAAATGACTGGGGAAGAAAATGATAGACTTAACCTTAAGATACGAGAAGAAAGCAGAGTAGAGGACGGAACAATCCTAGTGGAAGGCTATCATATTTGAAATCGAGAAGAAATTAGCATGAGACCTGCACATAGCACGTAGACAGGATACCCGAGGGGTAATTATGGGTAACAGACTGAAAGTTAGGTGGGCCACTGAGCTTAAAAAGTTCGCAGTTATAACTCTGCGGCAGAAACCACAAGAGTGGTTTGGTTGGCTGATGATGGGAGACGCCTTTACTATGCAGTGGGCGTAGATATGCTGCTGTTGATGATGATCATGATGAAGCTCCCGTGTTGAAAACTGCATCATTCATGTTTTTTGGTTATTTTCATTGCTAATGGTCACTGACTTCACGCAAGTAAAGAAACAGTAAAACAAACCAGCCTGAACACAATAAAGAGGTGATAGTTTCATTTGCGCATTCCTGGTATAAGCAGAGATATCGTTGCTGCGTGTTAGCTAAATAACTCAAGTTTGTAATATGCATGGATTACACAGTTGCAGAAGTGATGCGCATTATTAAAATATGTGAATAAATTGGCAATGTTTCTCATTTTTCATGCTTCCATGAAGTGTTATTGCAAGTATTTACGAAAAAGGGGTGAGCACACTTTGTGGAAGCATTATTACCTGCATTAGCTGATAGAAAATGCAGAATGACATATCACATCTTCCTTTATAGCACCCACCTTCTACATCACATGGAAACATTAGACGACAAGGAAGATCGTGACTTCATGGACGCCTATCTAAGAAAATGCAAAGAACATGACCAGCACTCCGCTTCAACCCACAATTGTGAGTTTCAGTTTTTTTGCTCTTTATTGTTTCCAACGGGGCCCATGCCATGCGCACCACTGCTGCTTCGCATCTCTTTAGGGCTACCTTTGGGTAGGCAGTTCATAGTTTTTTTATGTCAGTCTAGCTGAATGAGTCGTGCAGTAGATTCGTACTGGTCAATTACGCCTAACCGAAATGTCATGTATGGCCTTTGTCTTAAATACCAAAAATATGTGCTAGTGGGGACCAATATTGCATAAATAGCTGGATATTCTTTTTCATCGGCAAACGGAAACGCAATGTAAAGAAATGTGACAGTTCCTCAGAGTAACGGTATGGATAGTTATATCACTGGTACTAATTATTGCGGTGTGAAACCATAAACGTGAGTTTCAAAACTATGCTGCATAGCGGGGGTAATAAAAGTTATCGCTATAAAGCCTGCAATGTATTCTAAAGGATATACGCAGGAAGCTGAAAGTTAGTTCTACCTTTTGTTAAGAGTTTTAATTTTCTTTCGTAATGTTATAAATGACTTTTTCAAAGACTACGGACTGTATAGCATTACATGATTTGCGCAAAGGTTGGTCCCGATGGTTTACAGAAGTCGGACTAAAATAGGCAGCCATAAAGAAAGCTACATTTCTTACTTTTTCTTACTATTTGTTGCATGAAAAATATCAATTGCAAATTGCATAGTTTCATACTGAATCAATACAGAAAGACGTGGGTTGCATATTGATGTTTCAGTTCAGTAAATGTTACTACTTAACACACGTGACAATTTTGGTTTGTGCCTGAAAGTTCGCAAGGAAAACTACACAAACCTTTCGAAAATCCAGCTTTGCGAAAAATGCCTAAATCACGCTGGAGTACACCTAAATTTCCAGATGTGTTAACGAAACAAAACAGACCCCACACTTTTTTAGAAAACATGAGTATCGAATTGTGATGATAATTATGACAGATAAAGACATTTTCTCCAAGTTTGAGACGCAATCCCAAAATACAATTTTTAACCAAAAGAAGGCTTATGCCACATAATACTTTCACACGCGCTGTATTTCTTCGATGAGTTAAATTACGTGATCAGGGCTTCCCAAGCTACATAGTTTTCAAGGATCATGCATTTTTCTATGCAAGCCACAAGTTGAAACACTACCACTTCGTAAAAATGTTTTAATGCTCTTGAGAAACACTATTGTCCCGTGGAACCTTCGTATAAAATGCTCAACAATCAAAGCAATCTGCCTAACTAAGCGTTAGGCAACAATCGGTAATAGTAGAAGTGGCCAGTTATTATATATTTTGCTTTGGATACATCAGATGCTTTTATCTCCATTGGGCGACACAGCTTTCCGCTTTTGGGCAGAGTTGCCAGTTCTGCTTATATAGGCGGACTTGGTCTTCTCTTTTTGTCCACTGAATCAAAGCGTTTTTCAGCCACTTGTCCGATTTTTCGCGCTTAGTTGCGTTTTACAGTAGATATGGTCATTTTAGTGATCATTCAAATTTCTCAATGAGCGTTTGTCGATGACTTTGAGTAGCTGAATGGTAGAGTTAAGGGCATTAACCAGTATCGCTGATCGTGCCCGAGCAAACGTGCATGCATTCAACCGAATTGGGACTACCCTGAAGACAATGTTAAAAATTGATTGTCTGCTCATTCCTAGCTTAGGATACTTTCGCAGGAAATATAACTAGGAAATTTTATCAAACTATCTTCCATGTTTGAGGTGGATGTTCTTTATATTAATTAGAATTGTTTTCAATAGCGGGCAAACTATGTTGTACCCGCTTCTGTTGGGCATTTCATAGTGAACTTAGGCGACTTTGAGCGTATCTATCTATCTATCTATCTATCTATCTATCTATCTATCTATCTATCTATCTATCTATCTATCTATCTATCTATCTATCTATCTATCTATCTATCTATCTATCTATCTATCTATCTATCTATCTATCTATCTATCTATCTATCTATCTATCTATCTATCTATCTATCTATCTATCTATCTATCTATCTATCTATCTATCTATCTATCTATCTATCTATCTATCTATCTATCTATCTATCTATCTATCTATCTATCTATCTATCTATCTATCTATCTATCTATCTATCTATCTATCTGTTAGTCTATCTATCTCTATCTATCTATCTATCTATCTATCTATCTATCTATCTATCTATCTATCTATCTATCTATCTATCTATCTATCTATCTATCTATCTATCTATCTATCTATCTATCCGCCTAGCCTAAGACGTTTAGCTCTCCTGACCGCTCCGATAATGGTATCAATACGAAACGTATGAGGAGCATAAATGACTAGTCATAACATGTAATTTATGACACGTCTGTCATGATTGTCATAATTTACATTCTATGGTTTTGCTGCTCCTGCGGGGGTTTCTTTAATATGACATGCAAAATTGAAGTGTTGTGACATGACTGCAAGGCGAACACAAACGACAGACCCTATCATGAAAATTATGGCATGCGTGTCATGTAACGACATGACTACTTGCCACATTCATGATGCGATTGTGGCTGTTTCACTAGCTTCGCATATACAATATTTGGTATTACGGGTTGTGAATTGATGACGAAGTTACATGACTGGTGCGAACATGACAATCATCAGATGCGTGTCATGTAAGAACGTGACTACATGTCACATTCAAGGCGCCAGTACACTTCGACGTGACCTGGCGTGCATGCGCGCCGGCGTTCGTTTCGTCGCGTCACGCCAGCGATGCCACGCCAGGCGCATATTTTTGATGCATGCACATTTGAGCGCGCCCGGCGTCGCTCCGTCGCGAAGAGAGCCAGATGCGGTGCTGTCTGGGTAACGTAGTCACCGCGAAATGCAGCATGTCGCATTCCGCTCTGCTTGCAGCTGTGTCGTGCCAACGGACGCTGTTCGTGCCGGTGCTTGCGTTTTGCTAGTGTAGCGTCACCGCACCCTGCGTGCGCACGCGTCAACGTTACTTCGGAGTATATTGAGCCGTTCATGATGCTCTCGCCGCCGTTTCACGTTGTGGTTATAAGAGGGAAAAGAAGAGAAAATGAGCGCTGTAACTGTCTGCCTCAGCGTGCGACACCTCAACAGTAGCTCACAAGGGATGGGTGTGAGAAGGGATTAAAAGGATAGGATTAAAGATATAAGTCTCCTCGCCGCCGTTTCGGTAGCTTCGCATACAGCAACTTTGGTATTATGGGACGCGAATGGACGACGATGGTATGTGCCTGGTGCAAACATGATAATCATGACACGCATGTCACGTAAAACTTGACTGTATGCTACGCAAATAGCACGCTCGCGGCCCTTTAATATACCAAATTTGATATCAGATGACGTGAATAGATAACGAAGGTAAATGACACGTCCAAAAATGATAATCATGAGAATGAAGTCATGTACGGCATAATTTACCTTCACGTTCTAACGTTTTGCAGATTTTAATGTGGCATATCAACCTCCCTCATTCGTGCTTTGCTTATCATCGACTCCAACTGTACGTGGGATCTGCCATTTGTTCGCTTGTTTCCTTGTTGCCATATGGCAACACTACGTTTGAGTCAGAGCTTCGTCACCCATGAATCACTTGAGCACAGCGCTGCATGTCCTCAACGATAATATTTGTGAAGCCATCTGAAAGGTAACGACGTTCTTGGTTTACTAGCCTTTGTGCAGGATCACATTACAGGCGCCGCTTACTAGCTATTCCAAAAGCTATTGCTTCTGGGTTGTTTTGAACGTTTGTCCCCCGCAAAGCTGAAGCAGTAAGTTCTTCACGCTGATGTATTATTATTTCTCATCATTAGTCTCTGTGTTTCAAAGGAAAATGTCGGGTGTCGTACACTTTTCCGTAACTATTAGGCTGTGCGGAATACGCCTCCTCCGAGAGATGGTGCAAAGCTGTGCCCGCTGCTACGCACCGCATTTAAGTGGCGTCGCGTCGTGACTGTGCACGCTAAGCAAACCCCGGATGCGTTTATTACAGGGATCCATCCAACAAAATTCTGACTACGTAGAGTACCCTGAAAACATGTACCACTCTCTGAGCCAGTGTGGTGTGGTTCTTGAGAACTTTACCCATTTTAACAGTTTACCTAGCATCATTCCCAGCAAAGTTGCTTTGCGCGTACAGATTTTTTGTTTACATGTGCTCTCGGTTACATAGGTGCCAGGCACATTAGTCACGTGGAGTGTGCTACCATTTCAATAGAATTAGTGATTCTTCATTGTCGTAGTCTATGGAGTCCCCACTTTACGACTTGGGAAGAAAGTTTCTTCAAGATATCAAAACGTGTACAGACACTCCCGTGTTAACTGAATGGGGAGGAACATTTTGCAGCTCTGTGCCACGCAAAAATACGTACTGTACTGAAGCAAAACCTCTATTATTAAGTAAAAAAACAGATATTCCTGGTTTTCTCTTCATTACAGTGTCTGCACTAACAGGCAACGTTGTTACTTTCTTGCTGGCTGGCGCTATCACCGCGGCGGCGTCGTTAATGAGAGAGCTGCTGCTGGTCGCTGCCAACGTGGACACCATACAGGCGCGTATACAACGAGAAGTAACTGATGCTGTGGGTGGCGAGCGTAAGCCGTCCTGGGAAGATAGATTGTCGACTCCCTACACGATGGCCTTTATCTGGGAGGCACACCGGAGATACCCCATGCTTCCACTCGGAGTGCCCAGGCGGTGAGGTGATACTCGATGTACGACAGACATGACGGGTGCTTGCACTCGAATACACATTTTGAGAGTGAGTAGATAGTGCAGGATGGACATGAAAGACAGCGTTTTATATTGAACATGCTTGGAAGGGCAGCCAAACAGAAGGTAGGAAGGGCTATTCGCTGGTACTTCGAACTATAAATGGCACAAAAAGGCATACACATTGTCCAGTGCTTGCAGTACGAGAAGACCAAATTGGAATTAGGCAAAAAATAACTTTGAATGGATCACAGAAGAAAGATCTCGTGCTCTACCTGTTCGAGCCTTAGTTTGACAAATGGACAAACCCAGCCTTGAAAGACGCGTACACATGAAGAGAAAATTATGACGACGAAGATACAGGCTGGGAATAAAAATAGTTTAATGTAACGTCAGCTTACAAGACGAAAAGTCGGGGCACACATGCACCATACTTGATATAGAAAAGGGAAGAGCGGTTGGTATGTGACCAATGAAGGTAAACTGAAACGACTATATGCCTTTGAAATATGATGCAGAAGGACATAGTGCTAGGCACTTTCTGTAAGGATGTCCTCTCTTCTCAAGATAAGGATAAGGTAGGTACGCTTACACACCACCAATCATATATTTTTTGCATCAGAAAGGCCTTGATTTTTTTCCCTCTGGTGTTTTATGGCTACCCTAATGGCTGACCCGGTCTCATAAGAATGAAGGAGCACTACATGCTTCAGAATGAGCAGGCATGTTCACGCTTTCTCCCGAAGTGTCACATGCGGCGTGGTCCTTCCAGCCAGTATTGACACCACGCCCTGTTTTGCCTACAAACGTAAACTCTACCACAAGAACGTGGTGTGACATATGGCACATTTGTGATGCAGTCGATGAATCTATAGAGGAATGGCGATGGGTAACAATGCTTCTTGGCTCTCAGTCTACTAAGTTGGCATTACGGCGAGTGTGTTGCCATCACAGCGAGTGTCTTTCATATTGGCAAAAGATGGCGCTTGACTGACTCTCCCACATTTAAATGCACACACACACACACACACACACACACACACACACACCACACACACACCACACACACACACACACACACACACACACACACACCACACACACACACACACACACACACACACACACACACACACACACACACACACACACGCACGCACGCACGCACGCACGCACGCACACACACACACACACACACACACACACACACACACACACAGATATATATATATATATATATATATATATATATACTGGCATTGCATATAATAACATCTCTGCACTTCGATTGGCATCATTGTGTTTCTTTCTTATTATATTGTTTCTAACAAACAATAGGAGCCCCTTAAATTTAAGTTTTCATAACTTTTTTTTCGTCAGAGTGAATGTTTGGAAGGGCATCAAAATAAAGTTTGCCCGCAAGAGCAATTCGCGCAGTGTGTTAATGACAAACTTGAGTGTTCTACGAAGTTATGAAAGGGGCTAACGTTTTTGGATTGCAACTTGCGTGGCTCTAGAAAACGCTGGTGTGAAAAAATGCGGCCACTGTAGGAAGAAAAGAGGCTTTCGTGCTGTGAGTCATCTATAACTCAAGTAAGCAGTGAGAGTGAAGAATGTACAAGCGTGTACGGGGTGTCTACACGCGTCTCCCAAACTAATGTACTCGTCAGCGCTTGCGGCAACGTGCTATTCACCAAAGTTCACATTTTTACTTGTACCACGTAACCAATCTCTGAAATGTCTCACTAATCGGGCGTTTCGTGCATGCATATACTCTTCAGTGGCTTTTTTGAGAAAACTGCTTCATCATGAACCTCAACACATTTGGGTAGGCTTACGAGAAACGTCTCGGCATTGCGATGTATAGTTGTATTGTCTTTGTATACTTAGATATTTGCCTCCTGCCAGAAAAAGCATAGTGTTGATTGATTGATTGGTATAGGGGGCTTAACGTCCCAAACCATCACATGATTACGAGAGACGTCATGGTGATGGGCTCCGGATGGACCAACTGGGGTTCTTTAACGTGCACCCAAATCTGAGCACACGGGCCTACAGCATTTTTGATGAAGGCGAAAATGCAGCCGCCGCAGCTGGGATTTGATCCCGCGACCTGCGGGTCAGCAGCGGAGTATCTTAGCCACTAGACCACTGCGGTGGGGCCATTGTGTCAGCTTATAACGTACCGTTGGTGTAAGCTACTTTGGCTCATAATTTGCTTTGTGGTGAAGTGCTTTGGCTATTCTGTGTATATTTTACTTTTTGGTCTGGATGAGTTATAAGGTACTTCGTCTGGTACTGCAGATTTGACAGTAATCGCTAGCCTACTAAATTTCGTCCACTGCGCCAGTACAGCTGTCACTCTTCGGGAACTGAGAAAAGATTTCCTAAAACAATGCTTCACTCGAGGAAACGATGCCGTGAAATGAATATTCATGATATGTTCAAAACAGGATCGGAGAGAGTGTAGTGCAACATGTGGGACGTTGGGCGTGCTGTGATGGAATGGTAACCACCAGTAGGGCTGATTAGTGGTCACAATATGGACAGCTTGAAATTAGTATCCATTACGCCAGGCCTCCTTTTCAATTAAAATATGTTTGTTTGACAAAACAACGTAATATTACCTGATCACGGAAAAACACTTTGCAGAGCTTGTCAAAACGTTATCATTGGCGAATACTTCATTCCGGAAAATGCGACTGTGGTGACGAACACCTGGGCACTGCACCATGATCCTGCAATTTGGAAGGACCCAAATAAATTTGACCCGACACGTTTTTTGAAGAGTGATGGCTCACTGTCACAAGAGGAGCTTCAGCGAGTGATTCCCTTTTCTGTGGGTAAGTGCTGAAGATCGTGCATTATCTGCCTTTTACACACTTCTCAATGATAAAATGAAAGCTATTGCTGTACGGGAACGATGATCACCTTACCGTTTCAGTGCTTCACACACACGCATCGTGTGTGTGTGTGTGTGTGCGTGTGCGTGTGTGCGTGTGCGTGTGTGTGTGGGTGTGTGTACTAATGCTTCAAAAATTCACCCAACTCAAATGTTTTAATCTTGTTATTTCTTATTTCTTTTTACTCTTTTCAAACCCACTACCCCTGCCCTTGTCATGTATCATGTTCATCCAACTGCCCTTATTGACCAAGTTAAAACCACCACTACCTCTTCTACTAGCTTCCAACCTGCTCATGCTGTGGCTCCTCATGTTGACAGTGTTTATTATAATTTCTTTGTGCACAGGAGACACTTTGAGCGTATCTATCTATCTATCTATCTATCTATCTATCTATCTATCTATCTATCTATCTATCTATCTATCTATCTATCTATCATCTATCTATCTATCTATCTATCTATCTATCTATCTATCTATCTATCTATCTATCTATCTATCTATCTATCTATCTATCTATCTATCTATCTATCTATCTATCTATCTATCTATCTATCTATCTATCTATCTATCTATCTATCTATCTATCTATCTATCTATCTATCTATCTATCTATCTATCTATCTATCTATCCTATCTATCTATCTATCTATCTATCTATCTATCTATCTATCTATCTATCTATCTATCTATCTATCTATCTATCTATCTATCTATCTATCTATCTATCTATCTATCTATCTATCTTTATTTGGCTGGCTGGCTGACCGGAAAGCTAGCCAGTCTCCTGTTCGCATCAGTAACTTGGGGTAGACCAAAACTGGAATGAGGGGTTGGTAAGATGATTTGAAGAATATAACTCACTGGCCATGACATGATTTACATAGCGATGTAGTCATGTAAGTCGTCAAACCCATTATCACAGACACGTGGGAAACGTGCTTGTGTAACGTTGTGCACGGTATGCAGGTATGCGTCACAGGTAATTAGCAGTTTGTCTCCTCAGGAAAGGCGAGAACGTACAGTAGCTCTTTTATCGCGAAGGCGTAAGAACAATGACTAACAGCAGTAATGAACCGACGAATGCAAACCATGCACGTCAAGGTCAATTCTGTGGAGCAGGGTACGCTCTTTCAGCAATCATAGCGTCGAATTAAAAATAAAGCAAGCATCTTGCATACCTTAACTTAGAACGCGTCATTGTAGCATTGAATACAAACATGCAGAGGACAAAATAATACCAGATTTCAAGAGAATGAGTGTCAATTACTCACAACCGGGCAGGACAATCTGTAAAATAGTATGTATACCTAGGTCAAAGGAATTAGGGCACCTAGTCAGCTATGTCAAGCAGATTTACAAAAAAAAAGAGAATAGTTTCGTACGTATATACAAGACAGTCTTAAGCCATCGCAGGCAACAACACTGTCGTTGATAAGAACTGTTCAGAGCCATTTCCGTTGATCAGTTTGAACATGAGATGAATCGAGACTGACAATGAAAGTGCAGAAGTTAAGAACCAAGTAGCATCAGATTAAACGAAGGAAGTAAAACCAGGGGTGGGCATAGTTACAATACGAGAGTATTACAATAATATTTTGTTAGGACACTTTTGAATACCTGTACCAAGGCGAGGGTGAGTATGGGCCAGGTGTCACAGAAGCAACCAAGGTTTCGAGACGCATTCGTTATTTCATATTAGTATACCACTAGTGCAATACACTTTTACGATGCATCGACCATAGAACAATGCATTTTGAGACATGGGTAAGTCTGCTTACTTTTTTATTGTTGTACCTCTAGTCAACGTGTTAAAAAGAGGGAAGAAGGAGTATTTTTGTCCTAACGAATGTAAATGCACGGCGCTGGTCTGTGGTACAGTGCGGGTGGTGCCCCACTGTGGTACAGTGCCCCACACGTGCAGAATGACCCATTTCGTAAGGCGTGTGACAATGCTGACGACAGAATCGCGCAAGCAGCTACTGCCACCACTTACACATTAAACTAGGTGTCTTACAGGACTGATGCCACGTACCTTTTTTTTCGCTGGGAAAAGGGGTATTTTCTGAGTGTTATGTTCAGGTCAAACACATACAACCTATATATTGCAGTCCATTTGAATATATCTGCTGTTCTTCAGGTAGAATTACTGTACAAATTTTCAGCATAAATAATGAGTGAAAACTAAATGTACTCTATAGTATTGTTATTCTTGTATGTCTATGCCTCATATATACCAAGACAGCTTTTGTTTGCCTCGGAAACCCGTGCAGTTCAGAACCTGTAGTATGGGGTCTAAGTACGTGTGTTTCGACATATGTACATATGAATACTTTCCTCTGTCTGTTTCAACTTCCGACTAAGAAAACGTTGCGGCATTTAAGCCCGGCTCAATCCCTCGAGACACGTGCTGTTTTTTTTAAATGCGAAGCATTTTAAGGAAGCTTCGGCGACTTTGAGCGTATCTATCTATCTATCTATCTATCTATCTATCTATCTATCTATCTATCTATCTATCTATCTATCTATCTATCTATCTATCTATCTATCTATCTATCTATCTATCTATCTATCTATCTATCTATCTATCTATCTATCTATCTATCTATCTATCTATCTATCTATCTATCTATCTATCTATCTATCTATCTATCTATCTATCTATCTATCTATCTATCTATCTATCTTATCTATCTATCTATCTAGCTGTCTAAGACCTTTAGCTCTCCGGCCCGTTTCGATAATGGTATTGATACCGAACTTTGTATGGCATAACGTGACTGTATGAAGAACATATTTGACTAGTCACAGCATGAAAATCATGACATGTATGTCATGAATGTCATGATTTACATGCCGTGATCCTGCAGCTCGTGCGGTGGTTTTGTTCACAAGGCATGTTGAAAAACTGGTATGGTATGACATGACTGCATGGCGAACACAAGCGACAGACCCTAAAATGAAAATAATCACATGCGTGTTATGCAACAAGTCTACATGCCACAGTGATGATGGGCTTGGGGCCGTATCGCTAGCTTCACATTGCCAAATTTGGTATGACGGCACGTGAATGGTTGACGAAGGTTTGGAACTGGTGCAATCATGATAATCATAAGTTGGCGTCTTGTAACAACAAGACTACATGCCACGCTCATGATGCACTCGCGGCCGTTTCGCTAGCTTCAGTTATACCAAATTTGGTACTTCAGGACGTGAATAGATTATGAAGGTATGATACTGATGCAAACATTATAAACATGAGATGCGTGTCTTGTAACAACATTACTACATGCCACACTGATGAGGCGCTCACGGCCGTTTGGCTAGCTTCACAAATGCAAAATTTGCTATTACGTGACTCCAAAAGATGATGAAGGTATGTGACTGGTGCAAACATGATAATCTTGAGTTGCGAGTCATGTGAGAACATGACTACATGACACAGTCAAGGTGCCAATGCATTTCGATGTGACGCGGTGTGAGTGCTCGCCGGCGTCATTTCGTCGCGTCACGCTGGCGTTGCTACGCCAGGCGCCCATCCTGCCGTATACTCGCACGTGCGCGCCGCGCTGCATTGCTTTGACGCATGCGCGTTTCAGCGCGTCCGGCCTCCCTCCGTCCCAAAAAGAGGGAGACGCAGTGTTCTCTGGGTAGCGCATCAGCAAGAAATGCAGCATGCTGCATTTCATGCCCGTTGCCATCAAGCCGCGCAGACGGACGCTGGTTACGTCTGGCGTCAGACTATAGATTACTGGCGTTTTGATAACGTAGCGTCGCTGTACCCAGGGTGCGCACGCGTCAACGCTACATTGGAGTATAGGGCCCATCGTGATGTGCTCGCGGCCGTTTTGCTAATCTCCGCAAATACCAAATATGGTGTTACGTGACGTCAATGAATGACGAATTATATGACTGGTGCAAACATGATAATCCTGACACGCGTGTCATTTGAGAAAATGACAACATATCATGCTCATAGCGTGCTCGTCACCGTTCTGCTAGCTTTATTTATAATAAATTTGGTATGACGTAACGTGAATAAATGACGAAGGAAAACGGCACATCCAAACATGGTAATCATGACACAGAAGTTATGTACGACATCATTTTAAAGACAACAGAATAAGTAACTTCATTCTTGCTAATCAGTTTCTGTCGTTCTTTCTTCAAGTCTAGGCGTATTCAAGACCTCGCCATTCGATGGTCACTGCATTCGACCTTGTCAAGCACTTTCCCATTCTCCCGATGCCTCGATGTGCACTGAGTATAAAGTCTGTCTGTTTTGTTGTCAGTTTCGTCATTAGGGCTCCTGCATATACAAATGTGGTTGATTCGCTTCTGGTAGAAGGTATTAAAATTCACAAATAATTGCGTTCGGCGTATTTTACTAATAACTACCTTCTGGTATTTCTTGTACCATTGCCATATTCTCTTTCTGCCTCGTCTCCAGAATGTTCCGTCCCTTAATATTGCATTGAAGTCACCGATCAAGTTAGTATACTGTGCTTTTACCTTGCTCATTGCTGGTTCTACTTATGCGTAGAAGCTTTATCTAATACGTCATCATGGCTGCATGGGGACATGTAGGTCGGCACCAGCTTCAACTTGTATCTGTTATTTCTTTCGGATACAATATCTACCACCGTTTCATAATTGCTGAAGTATCCCTCTATGTTACCAGCTATAGTTTTGTGGATAAGGAACCTCACTCCAGTTCTCTTCTGTAAGCCAAGCTATGACGGCAAATGACGTGCCCATAGTGTAGCACTGTATAAACCTAAGAGTTTTTTTAAAAACTTCAACCATCCCTATTATATCCCACCTAACACCTTCTAGATCCTGGAAAAGCACAGCCAGACTTGCGTCACTAGAGAAGGTTGTAGCATGAAACTTTGCCACGTTCAGGTTCTAGTGGCGGCCTGTCCGGACCCAGATATTTCAAGCACTTTGGGCTGCCCACTACGCCCTAATCATCATATTTTTGTGTAGTAAGCAGTCATTCATCATGCCCTTTCTTGGTCATATATCAGAGAAGTGTGGTACACGCTACAGATTTGCAAGAAATATATTACAACTGCCGGTGTTGTGGCTGACGGCGATGAAGATGTACGCCAAAAGTTTTTTTCAGTTTATCTATTAGTTAGAATTTTTTTTTAAAAACTACCTGTTTTCGGCCGATCTTCCAGTGTGGGTGTTGGCCATGCCTCAAGGTACCACTCTATTGTACTCTGCCTTTATTGGGTTGTAGAATTCGACGACCCCTTTCTTCCGCAAAGCACATTGTGTGACACCTGCTTGCTTCTTTGCTCTTCAAAAAGGCTTTATTACTCATATTGTTGTGATTTCTTACCGAATATCCCAAGACTGCCTAAGGTCAGCTTGCAACGGAGTTTCAAGCACCGGCGTGACTGTCTGGTATACACTGGGCGGGAACGTGTCAGGATCCAGGAATAAATCTCAGCGTGGCCTTAGTGTTTTTATTCACTTATTTTTGTGATATTTTTTGCTATAGCAGTTAGGGGAACCAGTGCCGGTAGTGGCTCACAACTACGGTGGACGCGACTCTTGTTGTGATCATGTTACAGCTTTCTCTGTAAATGAAATTACTTTGTTAGTGAATTTGTTGCATCACGTTGAACATATTTAAGGCAGCGCATGACTACATGGATAGAAGAGAAGAAGGGACAAGTCACATAGCTAACTTGGAAGTGAATATTTCTTAGAAAACATTAATAAAAAAGAACACTTGAACGTTTCAACCTTCACACCCATGTGACCACACTAAAGCAAAAAAAAAACGCGTCAGCCGATATGTTGAACAATGAAGAAGACATTTTTAACCTGACTTGTACTGTCCAGCAGCATAAAAGTTATGATATTGTTATATTGAAGAACCTGCCCTTGTGTGAAGGTAGTAGTGTTCTTTTTTCGTTCACGTTTTCAAATAAATTTTGAGTTGCGAGTCAGCGCTGGGGTTCGCCTTTTCTTCTCTTGTGTCCACGTAGTCGTGCGCTCTGTTTAAACACGTTCATGTGCTGCCACCAAATGGCCCAGCTTTCAGGCCTGCTACTATTTATTGCTTGACTTTGCTGCGGTTATCCTGGTGCACCTGTCGATTCACTAGAGGAAGGCTTATTTTCTCCTGACTGCTGCAGTCTTTTTTTCATAGTTCTCTATAGTCCTCTGATGAACTACCAAAAAAGGTTTGAATATGCTGGTATAACCATTCTATCTGGGGGTTGTTAAAATTTTACTTTTGAACTTGACACTTATTGCTAAAACAAAAAAGTTTGCGGTTCTGCGAGGAAAAAGCTGTCCAAAACTTCACTTTGTTAATATAGCATTTTTACAGTAAAATATATACATGATTGTTGCATGCTTCACATGAGGGAACGCTGAAATCTGCCAATTCGATGTAGGTTCTTCAAAAGCTATCCTGCCCGCCTGATTCTGCGCTTCCATAAAACAGATTTAATAGATTTGGAACGAGGGATGTAGGCACGTCCACCGTTCTATTTTCGGACTCCTGTGAAATTTTGGTTGCCTCCCATGTTGTCCCAGGATATTCCCCCTTGTATATTTTTAGGAGCACAAACGTTAATCGCGACATTGCATTAAAGTCTTGCACGGAATACGTACTGCTGAAGTTCACTCACCCAGAGCTCTGCCTTTCCTCTCAACTCAAACTTCGGCATGTTGTTAGTGAGTAATGAATATAAGAACAGCGCGAAGGAGGAGGACTGACAATGATAACAAACATACAGTGGTGAAATTCAAAAACGACAACAGCGAAGCGATGCACACATACATTTGTAGATTATAAGTACGTGTTGAAGAGGGCGGGCTTCTATCACCATCCCCTGTTGATGGTGATGTAATATAAAAAGAATTGTCATCTTGTATTCATTGAGCACGAAGTCAGAAACAAATTAATAACGAGTAGCGTGTGTAATTTCTATGTTCAATAGCACATATGAGGGGATCATTCATATTTCAGCAAAGTGCGTATGAAGTGCAAAAATGCATCTTGAACTATGCTAGAAGGCATTTAATCTTGAATTAGTTAAGTTCTACTGTAAGAAAGGTGCGAGTGCTGTAACTTATTCATATTACAGTTCATGCGACCAAATGCATGAAATAATGCTTAGAAAAATATGTCCTTGTAGGCAATCATTGCTATTAAATTTTCAAACCGCGCTTAATTTCGTGCAATATGCAAGTAAAAAGTATGACAAGGAAATCTTAAATTGTGTTAGTGTCCTACAATAATATCGCACTGGTAACGAATGATTTATTTTTTTTCTGCAGGCAGAAGAATGTGCCCTGGCGAAATCTTCGCTTCTGCCGAGATATACCGGGTGTTCAAAATTAAGCTTTATGATTTTTTTAAAATTAGGCGCTCGAAGGCACGTGAGAACCACTTGTGCAAATAAGTTAAGCGGCCAGGGGGACAGAAAGTTAGATGATAATTATCGCTGTCAGCAGCCCAATTAACTAAAATTTAATAATTAACTTTTTACTGGCTGCGGTAAGTTGGCATGTTTATATTGAAAAAATGTAGGCAGTGGTGTTTGTACACAGTTTCAGTTGGAAGATTTTTTCTAGCACGCCTGTGTTCCGAGATATCCGGCTCCAAAGTTTAATTGTCTTTCGCACGATTACGCATGCAAGAGGGTGAGGGTCCGCGCAAAGCTCCTCCCTAAAGTGACGCATCTGTTGCGTGTGGTGTTTAGTGTGTGAAGAGGGTGGAAGCGTAGGCATAGGTGATAGCAATTACCCTTGCCCTCTTCGGCCGGCGAAATCAAAAATCGAAGAACGCTTGCAACCAGTGTCGTAACACGCAACTGCAGAGCCTCTAACGATAGTGGCAGATACCATGCCGAGATAATGGTGCGAGCGGAGAATCTGGATGCCAGTGCGCGTGCGTAATAATCACTAGAGAAGCATGCGTGGTCGTTGCCTGGGCTACGCGAATAGCGTGACTGCTGATGTCCGAGTACTGTAACTTTTATTGAAACAAGAGCAACAACTCCACCAATAATAACTGAAACAGTTTTATCCTTGCTAACGCATATTTCCTGCTGCTACATAAGCATATTTCGGTCATGCACAAATCTCATCGAAACTCTTCACCTCTCAAGACGTCAATGCCCCAAAAAGTGTTCAAAATGCCTGCCTTCGGCAGCAACGCAAAGCATGAACCGCTGTCGCGTCGACTCGATGACTCGGCGCAGTACTTCTGCAGGAATACTCGCACAGGCAGATGTTATCCTGTCCTTCATGTCATTAACATCGCTGGGCTCTGTTACGTAAACTCGATCTTTAACGTAGCCCCAAAGGAAAAAGTCGAGCGGAGAAAGGTCAGGTGATCTTGGTGGCCAAAACATCGCTCCTGCGCGCCCAATCCACTGTTGTGGAAAACGTCTGTCCAACCAGTTCTTCGCCCTGGTAGAAAAATGTGGTGGTGCTCCATCGTGCTGAAACCATACTTGGCGCAGGTCATTCAGGGAAAGACTGCAGACAAGATCATCAATGACAACACCTAATATTTCTTCTGTGTACATCTTTCCGTTCAAGTTGTCCTCAAAAAAGTGAGGTCCGATGATCCTGTCCCCGAGTATGCCGCACCACACATTCACACTCCAGCGAACTTGATGCTTGTGCTGCCTCAGCCAGTGTGGGTTTTCTTGTGCCCAATAATGGGCGTTGTGAAGATTAACACTTCCATTTCGGCAAAACCGAGCTTCATCAGTCCAAATTATTCTGTGCAAAAAGTCATTTTCTTGATCAGTTTTGATGAGGCCCCAATTGCAGAAGTCAACTCGCCTTTCAAAGTCCGCCTCATTTAGGTCCTGATGAAGGTAAACGTGATATGGATGGAACTTGTGCTTTCTTAAAACATTTGTGACTGTTCCGATGCTGCGACCGCACTGATCGGCAATCTGTCGGATGCTGAGCTCTGGCATCGAGGTTACGCACGCGACAACGTCGATTTCAAAGTCTTCATCGACGATTGCCTTCCTGGTCCGTCTCGGAAGGTGGACAGAGCCTGTTGTGCAGAAGCGTCGAAACAGGTTTGTGAAAGTGGGCCTTGTTGGAAGGGGACGGTGTGGGTGGCGAGACGCGTAAAGCTCCATTGCTAACGAAGCGTTGCCATTCATTTCAGCCATTGCAAGCACCACGTCTACTTTTACTTTGGTAGAATACCTCACGCCAGAAGCAGCCATATTAGCTCGAAAGGACTCCACGTGGATTTCCTTGGTAGACCTTCAATGCAGAGACGCTGTGCTCTAACCGGAGGCACCCTAGTGCAGGACGGTCCTGCTAACGCGTTCACAAGAAGATGTCTCAGTGTGATCTAAAGTCACGAAAAAAACGTCGCGAAAAATGGTCTCCTGTTATCGCGTTCATCAGGATCATGCGTAAGGCTCATGGCGCACCGCGCTGTCACATTTTGATTTCGCCGGCCGAAGAGGGCAAGGGTAATTGCTATCACCTATGCCTACGCTTCCACCCTCTTCACACACTAAACACCACACGCAACAGATGCGTCACTTTAGGGAGGAGCTTTGCGCGTACCCTCACCCTCTTGCATGCGTAATCGTGCGAAAGACAATTAAACTTTGGAGCCGGATATCTCGGAACACAGGCGTGCTAGAAAAAATCTTCCAACTGAAACTGTGTACAAACACCACTGCCTACATTTTTTCAATATAAACATGCCAACTTACCGCAGCCAGTAAAAAGTTAATTATTAAATTTTAGTTAATTGGGCTGCTGACAGCGATAATTATCATCTAACTTTCTGTCCCCCTGGCCGCTTAACTTATTTGCACAAGTGGTTCTCACGTGCCTTCGAGCGCCTAATTTTAAAAAAATCATAAAGCTTAATTTTGAACACCCGGTATATATACTTGACCAGCATCCTTCAGAATTACCGCATCGTTCCAATAAGCGGCAGTAATGTTCACGCGGATTGCAAATACAGTGAGATTATGAAGCTCGACCGACACAAGATGCGCTGTATACCACGAACAAACGTAACACAATGATGTGTTCTGTTTTTAATACTGTATGGCTTGGTCATTCCATTTCACACCCTTAGAAGGTGGGCGTCGGTTTAGCGATCTGTTGTAATCCAATAATATCTGCCAAATGGAGAGGCCCGTCTGGGCTACCTTATATACTATCCTTGTATGGCAGCAAGTGAAATTGTTGGTGTGTATTAAGAAATAAATATTGTTCTGGTTCCTTTCCTTAAACGTCTCGTTTTTTGTGTGCAGAGCAGCACAAGTCTTACCTAGCTTATGGGCAGCTGTAAAAACATTACCTGTGTATCCAGTTCCTACTTTCTTTAGACTGTGAGACACACAGTGAATGTACTGTACACCTACAACACCTTTACTCCAATCGCTTTCTGCAATAATGCTCGAATTTAACATAACAAACCTTTACACTTTCCGCTAATTTGGTCATTGTAATGGCAGGATAAGCTACAGCTAAAGTAATGTAACCTGTGAGTTAATGCAGTCCGTGAGTTTGGGCTCATGATCTTGTATTTTCTGAGAGAACATGACGACGACAAAGATTTAGTGTTCGGTTGTCAGTTTTCTTGGCTGGTAAAATTTTTATATTTTTATTTGTGCCGTCGCGCATCTTTGGCACCCAGCACGCCCTGTACTAGTCCTCAAGACCTCTGCTCTGCTGGGGGAAGCGTCCCGGCAAGTTTCGCTATTGAGGAGATGGTGGTGGACCTGTCTAGCAGCATGGGTAGACCTGCCTCTGCAATAAAGCAGCTCAGCTCTTCAGTGACATCAGAAGCTGCCGATTGCGAGTCTGATGTTAAGTCGGATGACTCGGATGCATTTCTACCTGCGACGGCCAAGACCGAAGTCGGTGGCATCGTCCTCAAGTGAAGAGACCATTATATACAACTGCATCATGACAACGACAGTTGATTATGTGCCCGTCGACGTCACGGTAAACCTGAACGCTATCTCCAAACAGAAGCCTCATGACTTTTTCTTCACACTTGCCCTGGTCTGATTCAAGAAGTTCGAGTGAATCCTAGGAAAAATATCATTGCCAGAGACACAACAGATGAGAAGATGGTGCGAACTCTGGTAGGTCTATCTCAGCTATGCAACGTCAACGAGCGGAATTTTCTTCCACAGGGCGCTAATGTAACAACTGGGGTTATATCGGATGTAGACCTAAAACTTTCAGACGACGTTTTGAAAAGTATGATAGTCTGCACGCCACCATGCAGAGTCATGAGCGGTCGAAGGCTTCGATCTTCGAAGTGTGTGATTATTCTTTTCGAGTGCGAAAAGCTACCTAGTCACATAAAGGCCGGACTAGTGTGGTAACCGGTCCGACCTTTCATACCAAAGCCTCTACATTGCCGCTAATGTCTTGAGCTTGGACATGTACAGGGTTTCTGCACAAGTGTTGCGGCCTGTGCTAAATGTGGCGCAAATCACACCGTAAATCTTTGCGACAGTGTGACATCTTGCTGCCCTAACTGTAATGGCGAACACTTGGCAACGGACAAAGAATATCCCAAGCTAAAGAAAAAATGAAAAGTCCTGAAAGAGAAAGCTAAAAAGACAGCGTAACGAGACAAGGCGCCTATCCATAGCGCCCGTCAAGTCACTGGAAACGGCACAAATGAAGATGCACAGGTACGTCCGAAGAATATTACAGTCAGAGGGAATCGAAGCGACGAAAGGAGGCGCAATTTTAGCATTTCGGGAACATCGTGGCCGGCGCTACCATCAAAGCCGTCGGATCGGACACAACCTCCTCAAAGGTCACGCCTCATAATGTTTCGGAATCAGCTTCCGGCAAGGCCATGTCTGCAGTAGAAAATACTGTAAACAGGGCACCAAAAACTGCTCCAGCCAATGATGACGCCCAACTTGTAACCATGGTTAAGATGCTTGTTAACGTCGTCAGATCTCTCATAGCTGGTCGTCAAACGCCAGCAGCATTAGCCGCACAACGGCAATTGGAGGCTCTGGCTCCAGTTCTCGACAGTCTTCACTAAAAGCAACATGAACACCTGTCGCAAGTCCCGTCCCTATGTGCTGCAATGAAACGCCAGTTCTGTACTACCGCGCCATTCTGATCTCGTTCTTAGGCTCCTTGCAATGAAGAATCTGCTGGATGTTATATCTCTCTAAGAAACCGATTTGAGAAATGACGAGCTCAAACTTTTGGGTTACGTGGACGCTCACAGCATTACCTGATGCACGGTAATGGCGTGTGCATCTTTCCAGTGTACAGACACCACGCATCCACGAAATGCTTCGAAAGCATCATTGTGCATACGATCTGATGTTTATTTCGCAGTGATCGACGCAAGTGACCTCTGCGACGCCGACTTTGAATGTTTAGCAGTTGCTATTCATCTCAGGAATACAACTACGACTGTGGAAAGCATATATTTTCGGCCAACGCAAACTTCGGACATCACATTGCTGGAGTGCCTGCTATCTGAATTATGACTGCATTATTTAAAAAGAAACCAACAGTCATTCAGATCACCTTGCACTAAGCGATTCTTTACACCATCTTTCCAACTGGTGCGACATGTGGCAAATGTCGATTAACCCCAAAAAACAGTGTGCATGACGATAACCCGAAAAAAAGAAGCTATCCAGTATGACTACAGCATTAAAGGCACCAGGCTTGAAAAAGTGAATGCGCACAAATATTTAGGCGTCACGATAACGTCAAGCCTCAGATGGGATGCGCACATTTCTAACATTACTTCGGTTGCTCTGCGCAAGCTCTTTTATCTTCGCAGATGCCTACGGTTGGCCCCTCACTCAACCAAGCTTTTAGCCTATACTACTTACGTAAGACCGGTATTAGAATATGCTAACACAGTATGGTTTCCTTATACAGTCACTAACATTCAAAAGCTAGAAAATGTACAGAGGAAGGCAGCAAGATTCATCTGCAACAAATATAAGCGCACTGATTCTCCTACAAATATGTTGGCAAGCTCTGGCCTCCAAACACTTGCGATTCGAGCGAAACAAGCGCGCCTTAAATTTCTTTTTCAGCTCCTTTACAACCATTACAAAATTGACCCATCATTGTACATCCGTCCGTCAGACTCCCACGTTATTAGGCACAAACATTCATACACACTGAGAGAGTACTCTTACCGCAATGACACGTTCAAACACTCCTTTTTTCCACTTGCCATGAGGGAATGGAACTGTTTGGATTCCCCCATAACTAGTGCGAAATCGGTATCCGACTTTGCACTAAAATTAGAAAATATGTTCTCTTAATGCGGCAATACTCGCATTACCAGAAGCATTGCGGCACCAGTGAAAGCGTATTAGTGGAGTGTACAAGTGTCAACTGGAGTGTTTGGAGGTTTGCTGTTTGTTTGCCTGTGTACCACTGCACCACTTCATGCAAAATTTCTCTTCTTTTTGGTGATGGTTTCTTTGTCTTTGCAGATGTAAACAATTTGTATATTTTTAGCGCTTGTACTTTGTGATGACTGTCATTTCACTACATTCCTGTTTCTGTTAATGTACCACCTGCATGCACAATCTGTACGCCCACCTGCTATGGTCTCGGAACGAGACTTGCAGTATTGAAAATAAATAAATAAATAAATAAATAAATAAATAAATCTCGGTGTGGCTCGTCATTTTTGCTGTGGGAAGATATCAATGCCCATGATCTTCGTTGGTGTCGTCGCCCAGAAGACAATCGTGGAGCGGAAATCGATGAGCTTATTGTTAAACATGATCTGCAGACCCTTAAGGATGGCTCAGCCACATTTGTCGGCAGAGGAAAGAAACAATCCACCATCGATCTTCCCATATACGAGAGATGTGCGTCTTACTTGGTCAGGCGAAGCTGACCCATAGGGTTCAGATCATCTGCCCATTTGGCTGGTTACAGAGAATTCCCCTAGCAGTCCGAGTGCTGCATACACAGTGACAAATTGGGACAAGATCCGTCAGCTGATTGCAGGGGCGCCATCACATGATAACCTGTTCAAACTGGTGAGCTAATGTCTGCAGCAAGCTACAGTACGACGACTGCGAAGCATAGACAGGCCAAACACTGACCTAAAGCTCTTGAGACTACGTGCTTGTCGACGACGTGCTTACAGAAGGGCACACCGTACCAAAAGGAGCTCTGATTGGACACTTTATAACCGCTTAGATTCAGCCATTATGCGGCACACAAAACAACTTCGTCGAAGAAGCTGGGCCGCATTGTGTAGTTAGTTGCATATGACGCATATTGAAGGCTCTCCGAACACCTTAGGTCTGCAAGAACCCAACTACAGCATTGTGCATCATGACTGGACGGTCTCCAATAATTCTTGCGGAAGATTTGGCCAATATTTTCACCTGTCCTATGTCAAAAGACAACGCCAGACTTCGTTTCGTAACAATTTTATATGGACCCTCATGTAAAATGGATGAGGCCGAATTTACCCTGGCCGATCTGCGTCATGCACTTTGCCTCTGTTACCGTCGCACTTGCCCAGGCGAAGATGGTGTTACGTACCAAGCCTTGCGAAACATTGATGAGGTCTTTCATCAAAGTATCCTGGACGAATACAACAAAGTGTGGCAAACGAGTCTGATTCCTTCTGAATAGAAATTGTCTGTGGTGAAACTAATTTTAGAGCCTGGTCGCCCTGCACAACTTTTGAACTCATACCGGCCAATATCACTAACTTCTAATGTTATGAAGCTGAGGGAACGCATGGTGCTGTTTCGTCTGGACGCCAGATTACAGGAGCTCACTTTCTTTCCTGATGTCCTGAGTGGATTTCGTTGCCACCGTTAAGCCCTCGACAGCATAGCAGATCTTGTATCATCGCTTGATTATGCTCGAGCAAAGAGATCTCCGTGAGAGTTGAACGGGATGTACGTTCTATGTGTTCTACGGGATGTCTGATGTACTATTTCATTTTTGCGGAAGTGGTTGGCAGCATGATACCTACGCTTTTTTCGTAATGAAGGAAAATATTTTTGCAGTGTAGGCACCCACAAAAAAATTAAACATCATCTGGTGCATTCTGTATAAAAACTAGGTTGCACCTTCTTTGCACTTCCCTGGAGAAATTAAATGTCAAATGGCCCTTAAACGTTCGCCCGCGAGTTTATCGCTTTGCTGCATGAAAGCCAGACACACATATGAACTCTATGAGGTCATACTAAGACAGCTGTTGGTAGTCCATGGGTATTAAACGCACCTGAAGAACACT